CTTTTACGAATTTTTTTAATCGCTTTTCTGTCCCAGAGGCCTTGTGGCGTGATCTACGCTGACACAATTGTCGTTTCCATCGTTCCAATTTTGATCGTCATACCCTTCAGATGGTGTACATAGGTCCGAGAGGCCAAGCTCACAGTGAAGTATTTCAGCTCGCTCAATGACAGACACTGGTCATCTTCTATTGAGATTTATAGTTGATCTATGATATAAAACATAAAGTGATAAGCGTGTCACTCCGGGTAAGAGATTAGTTTCCTGAAGGGTCAGGACATCATCTTTGTTGTTGGTGAGCGTTCGCCGCAGTTCTGCAAGTTCTGTGCGCAGTCCGTTGGCATTACATTGAAGACGCGAGCGAAACAATGGACTATGCCAGTGGCACGCTGTGCCGAAGTGTTAGAATATACTTGAAGTTCTACACTACTGGGCGTCTTTTGGTTGTAACGATGCTCCTATGTGTTCAGTGGTCCTACTAACAACTTCCTAAAATGGGAAGCATTGTCTGCACGATAGATGAAAGGGAACCGGCAAAGGAAGCTTCAATTCCGTCAAAATTGCAAGTGCTATGTTAGCACAAGTCCTTATGATTGATATCTATCCAGGAGCTTCTTTTTCAGGGTCACTGTGTCGCTACCAGTATATTCTTTTACAACTTGGTATTTCTTGGCAAATGAGCGTTTTAAAAGTTCCAAGTTGAATGATGGCTTATGTATAGATTTTTCTGACGAAGCTTGTGTGAAGATCTGACTTGTTACGTGATTTGGGTCAATCTTTTCTTTAACATTTTGGCCAGTTATTTTGAGCGCCAAAACATAGGCGTCGTTACCAGTTGCGTCTGGCTTTGGCTCTGATCTTCTTCTGGTACACTCGGTAATGTCCCTGGTCCTGTTTTGACGGGAAATGGCGAACCTTGCTTCACGAAACCCTACTTTATTAATTCATGAATATATAGCTACAGACTGTTCCTCCTTCAACGTCTGACATATGTTTGATGTAGCCTCATGATTGGCGCTGCATTTAATGCATTTCATTTAGCTGAACGTGCATCCTTCAGCTGTCAGAACCTGGTTCTGAGCACATCGATTGCACGCTTGGGCGTTTTTGCAGACGATCGTTTTGCGTCCGAAACATCCACAGTTGTGGCATTGTATGGGCTTCTCTTTGAATGGGAAAACAGAGTTTCGCAGATATCCTTGTAAGGCATAGCCTAGAAGGCAGCTGCTGCTGAAGACGACTTTGACGACTGGGGGTTTCCCAAGTCGTCACACATTGGCAAACTTTTCTTCTAATCATGGGTGTTTTGCCAGTTCTTCATCGGTGACATCCTCATCAACGTCGTTAGATACACCGATGCCCGTTTTGCCGGACAACGGAGTGCGGTCAAACATGGATTCCGCAAAGTAATGTATTGTTCATCAGGACTTTGTGGGGTTCTTTGTGGAGGTCCCTCTACTAATAATCGCCGCCCGATCAGTATGCGCTCCGCCCGTCACCCAGGGAGTTACACACTGCAGCGAGAAGACAGCGAATGGGTTTACTGTACCTCACGGTTACCCGTCGTCGAGAGCCGGCAGTCCAGGCACACCGACCCTTGTTGTCGCCCGTCGATCAGAGCTCACAGTCGGGGTCCGCGTCCAGGCCTGCGGATCGCTTTTCTCACGCCAGCGCTGCGTAGGCTGGCTGTCCCGGGCTATCAACGCCCGAGTCTCGCTGCGGAACCACCCCGGGATCGTCGTAGCCCAGGTCATATGACCCGGGCTCGCCGTTTCCACCGGTCTTGCTCCAGACCTCGCTGGTGGACCGCTCCGGGGTTCGTCATGGGCCGCGCCAGGCAGCTTGGCTTCGACGTTCCTTGTCCAGCTACCAGACTCGCTCCCCACGCACTGTCTCGCGCCAGCTCATGTCTTCTCCGCCGACCGCCTGTCACGTGCGTCTGCCTCGTCTTTCACCCTCGGCTCCCACAACTTAAGCGGGTTGTCAGTTTCGGACGTCAACTGTAATAAGGTTGAGTCGTTGATTGTAGCGAAGTTGAAGAGTGCATTCCGGACTTATCTTTTCAAGAGGCTTTGTTACATTGAGACTGGTAAGGAAAGTTAGTTCCTTTTCTGAGTCGGTCGGGGCATTACGACGGTGAGACTGTTGGAGACGTTATGTGACACAGATGCTGTGCCAGAATTGTGGAGTGAGTCGTCTCTTCGGAATCGTTCCCGATTTCCAGAGATGTACCATGGTCCTCCAAAGTCGTTGCCGTGTTCCATGTGGGAATGTTTCAAGTAAGAAAATTCAGGTGAGGCGTTTGGAGCGGCAGCAGGGCTGTCTTCTGTGGGATTTGCCGTTGGGCACAAGTCTGTAGGTCTCAAGCTTCGAGCAGTGCTCCAGGCCAACAAAATGTAATATTTGTGGCTCCCGTTTCGAACATGCGTCATGACGCCTCCCCAAAATATTTGTTCATAGTCCGTCCCGTTATAAATGCCAGCGTAGCAGAGTCTACAAGAGGGAGCTCTGAGCTTTCAGTGTCCCTACAGAGCACTCACGCTCGTGCAGTGCGTGCATCGTTCAGAGGAACATGCTTTTGCACTTAGTTTCTGCTTTGCTATAACGTAAATTGAAAAATACGTGCTCACAGAGACTTTGACAAAAAGTAATACAAATAATGAAGCTGGAGGTAATGTTTGATGAGATGCTGAGGCCGCAAGGTCCATAATTATTTTTAATTTTTTTTATCTTTTTGCACGTTTTGTTATTGCACGTTTACAGATGCTGACAGATGCTTGTATTCGAACGTGACACGTGCATTATTGTACGTTACAGCGCCGCACTTAGGTTCGTATCGCGTAAATGGTGCAGCCAGCATAACATGGTCGCGTCTAGCGGACGCGCTGACGCCCCCTGCCCTAGAGCAACGGGTCTATTGCTAAGGGGTAATGTCAGAGCATGAATCATCCCAATGCTCGCTGCTCTCTCGGATGAAGACATAGCTCCTTACATTCAGAGGAGTTTGGTGGTAGAAGACAACCCTAATTCCACTTGCCGAAACAAAACTTCCAGGTCAGGATACCCATACGTAGGTTTAAAACGTAGAAAAAACAAAGAGAGAAAGACTTCCTTGCTCAAAGCGCTTCATTGTCCTTTTCTCAAAGATCTGTCGCCATGCTTGCCACAACGAAAGCAGGTTGGCGCAAAGTGGGATAGTTGACGCACAAGTTTGAAAACTATCTAATGAATACAACTGCTCGCCAGCCCAATGGGACAAAATATTATTTTCGTTTTTCAACATCCCTGTGACGTAAAGGAATATGCGTGTTCATTTTGACTTCAATGTTTTCTTTTTGTTCTTTTTTTTTGCCAACGCCGCGAGACAGTCATGTGATGGGGAAATTGTATCAAACCCATATGGCTAAACGAAGCGGCATTTGGTGTCAGCTTTGATGCAGTGGTACATTGGCGTCCTGCCGTGAGCTTGCCTGGTGTTTCATCGCGCTCATCAGGTTTCTATTTTTACGAGCGGCAAATAAGCGTGACTCACGCGCGAACAAGGGAGGGCCGCAGTTCGCGTTGAAGTACTTGCCGAAGCTTCTGGGTGAGTAGGTGAGGCTCAGATTTGATTACACCTAGCAACCTTTTCGTGATTTAATAAGTATAAAACCCGCGTAAATCAGCCTGAATGTTTACTATTTCTCAAATAGTTAAGAGGTGACTAAGGTATTTATATCTCGCGCGCACGCTGTAGTGCTCCGCCTTCGCGAGAGGCGCCTCTGACTAAATTCTTGTTCCCGGGAGGGGACTGAAGGAGCTCTGAATAGACTACCCAAATAATTTCTCACCGTCGAGTCCACTAGTCATTTTTGTAGAAGCACAACAATCAAGGTGAGGACAGCACGTAGTGATGTATATATATATTTTTCATTCTTCACAGATATGTGTAGTTTCTAAGTTGGAAACTGATAAATATTCTTATAGTTGGAGGCACACAGACGCGACCGAGTAAACGTGAGTCCAGGAGAAAATCTCACGAGTTAAGCTCACTTGTATTTTACGAAACTACGAGAAAAGTTCATATTTAACTCAATTTCATGAAAGGTGTTCATTGTCATATTAGAGCAGTAGTAGAGCAAAGCCACATGTGCGTCCCACGCGGGCGGCACAGATTTAAAACCAGGCTGCTTTGCTGCATCCTTCATTCCGCTGTCATGGGAACTGTTTTCGCGTGACACTTGGATATTTAATTGTGACGTAAACAGGATCAAGCGCTCGAAGCGCTTCATTCTTGCTATATCGATATAGAGGAGCATCTACTGCAATCAAAACCTGGCACCGGTCATAGGCATCACTTCAAATGGTTTTGAACCACAAATATTTTGAGCTTGGGGCTAAACAATGCTACCTGTAAGTACAGGGTGTCACAAAAAAAAAATTACACGATTTTGTTTTCCGCAAAAATAAACAAGGCATCGCCGAACGCTCATTCTCCGCCCAAAGGTTGCGCTAGAGGTCACAACCAGATGCCAAACTTTCAGCCCGATCCGATACCTTATTCAAAAGTTATGTGATTTTCTGAAAATTTCAATGGGAAAATGGCGTCCGAAGGATTTTTCCTATATATGGGGCCCTATGGCACGAGAAACCGAAAACGAGCAAAAATGGTCTCCATTTTCACATTGAACTATTCAGAAAATCACATAACTTTTGAATAAGGTATCGGATCGGGCTGAAACTTTGGCATCTGGTTGTTACTTCTAGCGCTACCTTTGGGCGGAGAATGAGCGTTCGGCGAGGCCTAGTTTACTTTTGCGGAAAAAAAATGTGTAATTTTTTTTGTGACACCCTGTAGAGTGTGTTTTCACGTAAGATTAAATTTAAACACAAGGGGGAAAAGTGGATTAAGTAAGCGTTAACTTACCTGGAGTAGCGAGGGAGATATTGTGATATACTGGTTTTACCTCGTCCTAGCACTCCGATGATGTGTGCACATCAATAATATTTTCCCACAGATTATGAAAGAGAGGGACCGTCCATTCTACCAAATCGTCGATGGCCACCGCCTGCCTGGTATCTTCCGGGAAGACGTTTACCGTAGCGGCCTGCTCTACAAGCCAGTAGAAGGCGACGTCGTTTTGGACACCTTTCCCAAGTCCGGAAGTCACTGGGTGTTAAAAATTTTGAAGGAATCTTACCGGCTCTGCAAGGGCATTACCCCAGGATCGACTTTTCTGGAGATGTTTGGTTTGGAAGGTGTTCTGAGAGCAGATCGTCCAAGGATTGTTTGCACACATTTGCCTCTGACTCTTTTACCGTTCGTACCGTCTGTTAAATATATCTACTTAGCAAGAAATCCGAAGGACTGTTGCGTGTCTTTCTACAACCACACAAAGATCATACCAGAGTACGGTTTCCAGGATGGCACATTCGACGAGTATTTTGAAATCTTCCTGGATGGCCTTACGGATTTCGGAAACTATTACGATAGCATTCGATCGTGGTATGCTAAGAGAGACGAGCCGAATGTGCTATTCTTGACATATGAGTCACTACACGCTGACATCTGGGGATCGGTGATTAAGCTAGCCGGCTTTGTGGACCAAGCCTTGGCTGATGAGCTTTCACAAGATGACAACAAGATGCAAACTGTCCTGGAAGAAATTAACATAAACAACATGAAAAAGAATTTGCCGCTCCAGTTCGTTAGGAAAGGCGTCGTGGGAGAGTGGAAGCACTACTTCTCAGAAGAACAGTCCCGGAAGTTGGAATCCAGGTTTTTTCTTGAAATGGAGGAGACGACAGTCCCTGAGATATGGGAGAGTGTCGACTGGCTGCTTGATTCAGCTAAGCAAAATTATACTTGCTGAATTTTTACTGAACAAGCTGTCGTAATTTCCTGATCAACAAATAGCAGACTAAATGTGGTACATGCGAAGTTTTTTTGTTTTTGTTCTTTTTCCTATATCTCTAACAAGAAAAATGCGACTTTACCTGTTTTGTTGCCTGCGAAAAGTAACCATCTTTTAGCAAACTTTTAGAAGATACGTTATTCGGACACTCGGCATTTAACCTGCATTGTCTAGTTACTGTACGCACTTTTTTCTGGTTTGTATTTGTTTCTAAAATACTGTTTATCATGTGAATAACTTACTGACTATGAAATATACATTTTCCACTCATTTGCTTATTAAGCCAAGGTATAAGTTTTATCACTAAAACTGAATTCTTTCGCGCGTGTATGCATTTTTACAAATGTTAAATAAATTTGAATGTATTTGTTGCTACTGACACTTTGAATCATTATTCTATACAAAGTTTATGCTGCCAAGGGTGGACACGGCTGCTGGGTAGTGCAACCCAGGGGTTTAAACATGAATCTCATTCTTGGAGAGTCTTTTGTGTGTGGGTTCTCCGGTAAAGGGGAGTCATGTATCACAAAGTTGTGTATTTTGACTAGAGAATTCTGGAGGAGTGTTGGACTGAGATTAAGGGGGGTTTGGGGGGATTCTGTGAACATTACTGGTCCCACCTGCATTTTACACTCACACGAACTGGAAAGTCCTTTACCTTTCGAAGTTCGCATTTTTTTCTTTTTTTACGAATAAGGTATTAACAATTCCATCACTTTAATTGCATGGTACTTTGAGACTGAAGGACGTTTTCAGATAAGATCGAACAACCATGTCCGGTGACCATTTTTAATTTTGATGGAAAAAATCTATTTTGCTGGCTTCATGCCGAGACGAATAAAACCAATCCTTGTTTAAAAAAAAAGAATTGTCTTTGCGAAAAACGTTGTAAGCATCCTCTCAGTCATGTGTGCGTTTTGCGTATCGCGTAATGTTGACATTTCGGGCGGCTTCTCCAAAAAAACTATTCTGGCTACGGGTCTAGAAATATTTAGGGAAAAATTGGGCACAAGAAAAATTGACAAAAAGTACTAATCGCAGAGTATTGTGGTTGTTATTTTCAGAAAACAAATCGCAAACACGGCACATTGCGCAATAACGCTCTGGATTAAAGATTTCTTTATCCGTATCTATAAAAGCTCAGGTATTCAAACTTCGCCAGTGTGTTGCCTTCTATATATTGCATCTCTGTATGAAATATTGTTGTCCTGGTTAGCGCGTGAAATTTACAAGATTAGCTCACACAGGGGTATTAACTAAATATGCATTATTTTGAAAATCATTAAAAAAATGCGATCTTTAATATTCTTTAAACTCTCTGAAATTAACGTTTATAATATGTACTAACAGAGTCTGCAAAAACATAATGCAACATTTGTGTAACTTTTAAGTTATTAAGCGTGAAATATTGCCAAATCTACTTTAACGCGCTTACCATACATGGGGCGTGCACATAACCGTTCTTCACAATTTCATTATTATTAAAAAGCGTAAAAATGCTACGGGGTGGTCAGGAAAAGACAAATTGACAGCATAGTGGTGGACGGTAGTTTTGAAGTTAAAATGTCTCATACATTTTTGTACAACCGGCACTAAAATGCCCATTGGCAGGAGTGATCGATGTGCGCCACCCTGTAACTTGCTTCGCGGAACCTGTTTCGGCAGCCGGCGTATAGCGTCTCCGTCTACACGACGTGAAGGAAGCAACCGGAGCGACTTTGCAAACTGATCACCCTACAACCTTGGCGGTAACATAATATAGGAGGTAGGGCGCGGCAGAGCCTGAACCTGCACCGCCTTCGAGCACCAAGAGATCCGCCGCCGTGGAGGGCCGCGCAATGCGTAGAAAATAAAGATATTAAAAAAATGCGATTGCGATTGAATGAGCTTGTCTGTAACGTAATTTATATGACAAAGGTTTGAAGAATCGTGAAATCCAATTTGTGTATGCTCATGTGACCTACGTCAGTGATGGTGCAGCAAGCCACTTTAATAAAAAGTACCAACTACACCAGCTGCAAGCAACGAGTACACGTCAGCGAAGTGTATGTTTTCCGCAACTGGTCATGGCAAGAGTGCCTGTGATAGAATCGGGGTCGTGTCAAGCACCAGGCAACGTCGTATAACCTCTGACGACCCACCACGTCGGTGATCAAGTCGGCGTCAGAGATGGTAGCACCTATGAACACTAAACTGTCGAACGTGAAACAAATCCACCTCCCGAAAGCTGACGTCCAAGCGTTCAGGGACGTGAAAGTGAAGAAATGGGAATTTGTTTCAGTTGTGCGTGGAAATCAGTCTTGTCACTTGTGGCAGTGTACGCGGTCCGACACTTCACAACCACAGCTGTTTTAGCAGGAAAGTAGACGCAGAAAATATATATATATCTGAAAGTAAAGTCTCCTATGGCTGCGAAAAGCAGACCGAGGTCGTGAGCTTGCGGTGCAACTGAGAAGAAACGAACAGTGATCGCTACAGGCAAAACGTGAAAACAATGCTCCTCCTCGGAGTGCCAGGAGAGAGCCGTGACCGACTCAGGTCAGCGTCGGGCAGAAAGAATGCAAGCGACAAGCGCCGAATGCGCGCACAGGATCTTGATTCATCAAACTCATTTCAATTGTACCGCCTTAAACATGTGACCATTCTTAACACTATTTAAACCTGGTCGTCGGCAGCCCAGCCTCCCTACGAATACGCTCCGAAAGTCATTGATCTGTGAAATCTGTACTTAAAATGTTGACTTGCGCTTCTAACTCGCCTGTAATCTTTTGTATGAACTCTTATTTTTCACGAACTCCTGTCACAGTGCTTTCTTTTCACAGACTTCCTTCATTTTCGACCCCTTTCTTGCCCTTGTTTAAAATGGGCAACGTCCTATTTTTCTCTACTCACATTACGGCAAATCTGTATATTTAGCGCTCTGTAAAATAAAAATAAATAAAAAAAATGTTGCAAAGCATTTTTGAAGGGCCTCATAGAACAGATTATCAGCCTGGATCTGTAAAACGTAGAAGAAAAATTAAGATGGCCTTAATATTAAACTGATTTTTTAATTATTGCAAAATCGGTAACCTGTCTACATTTAAGTGTTTTTTTTTTAGGAAGGTTATTGTTTTCAGTTTTAAGGACAATTGAGGCGGATATAGAGCAAACGCGTCCAAATCTTGTTTGAAAATTTGAATTTCCTGTCTTTTAATATCCGGAATCATAAAGTTCTGAAGTGGTTCGTAATCGAAAATGCATGTTTACCTCCTTTTATTTCATGTACAGCCTCTGCAGAAGAAATATTAAACTTAAGGCGTCAACAGTTTTTTTTTTTTTTTTTATAAATATCCAGAAGGACGGTTTCACGCAAGTCGGAAAAACGTGCGCGTATACAGTCAGTGACTTTGTTATTCTTGTTTCTCCAGAGAAATATTCTTTGCCACAAAAATGTTTCAATACGTTTTTGCGCTTGCACAACAAATAACATATATATTTTGGTAAAAAAAAAATTTCGACCGGGCATGGTGGTTTAATTCACCGGCATCCGAGTGCAAATAAAAATTATCGTCATCATAATTACGCGATTTTACGGCGCTTTTAGTAACGTTCTGATACACTAAGGTCTGAGTAGATTTGGAGCTGCGTAGTAGCTGTGCCGATCGAACATTTCGGCTAGCATAAGCTTCCTGCACAATGTGAACTTTCTACTCGTTAATACTCAGTGTGATCAGAGGTACAGAAAGAACGAAATAGAATTTGACTATTTTTAGAGGTTCACAAAAATGGAAATGATACTGCCCCTTTTTTAGCAGTGTGCAGTGACCTATGACCATTTTTCATGCTCACTCAGGGAAATCTGCCGAAGCGCTTCACACAATCGTTCACTGCACTAGTGGATCACTACTTGGGGTATATCAGGCGCTTGTTCAGGGTGACTCCGAATTACGCTCAAAAGCTATGTAACCATAAATTGGGTCGAAATTACCGATCACTAAGGAGCTGAAGGGACACCGTTTCCATGATTCCTCTAGCACGGGCCAGGGCGCTTGGGGGATATTGCAGATGGTCTATTGTGTTTATTAAAGTTCAGAATCTGGTTAATATTTTCTTTCGTGTCTTCCGAGGTTTGCCAAATAAATGTCAACTTGTCTCAAAATTTTACATGAGATTGACATGGACTCCGAGCTTTCGCAGGTTGCTTCGTGCAACCTGCTTGTTCACGCCAGGCTGGTCCCACTGCCAGGAAACTTCCCCAGCAGGACTACAGAAATAATACATGTACACCTTCCTGGCGAAGTCTGCATCATCACCAAAGTTCCGTGCACGTGCGGCCTCCAGCGGAAGCAGCAATTCCCTCGCTGAGTCTGTCATCTCGCGGCGCCACCCTCCTGCCGTGGGGTTTCCCATGTTGTCGTCCTGATCAGCATAGGCTGCTGGGTGTTCGTTGTGTACCAAGAGAAAGTTGTGCAGGACACAGCAGGACTTTATGACGTAATCGACGTGCTCTGGTAGGAGGTTGATTGTCCGGAGGAGAATTCTCCACCGGGCGGACATGATCCCAAAGGCATTCTCAGCACATCTCCTGTTTGGCAGAATTTATTAAAGTGATTAGTGCACACAGTAGCACTGGAATAAAAGCAATAGTCAAACACTGACAGATGTTCTAGACATGGAAACTGCATGCACTTCTAAGTAATTTATGAAACAGACTTGGGACTAAAAAATGCATATGATGAAACCTGAGTGTAAATCGGTTCAGAAAATCATTGCAAGGTTTATGTAATTATGACAAAATCCTACGACAGTTTCTTAATTGTGTTGAGCACTTCACAAGAGGCAGTTATAAAAGTAATACGATTGGGGGCAAAAAGAAAAAAAAAATATGGCAAAATTTCTCTTGCAAGGCAGGTGCACCTTTTCTGTAGTCGCGAGGTTAAGAAAGTTCCTCCTCGTAGTAGACTACACTGCTGTTAGACCACTAAACTCAAGATAGTGAAATTAGAGGAGGAGGTGGAAGTTTGCACAGTGATGAGCTCCCGAGTTGGGCACATCGCGTGTATGCCGAGCTTGAGGTCATCTGCGGCATCCTGCTCAGTGTGTCCAAATTGAAAATTCAAGACAGTTTGCCCTGTTGGCACTGTCTGCAGTGCTTGGGCACAATCGACAAACGAGTGTTGTCGATTGGAAGATTAGAATAGAAGGGTAGGAGGGGGCATGACGTCAGCCGTGTACCCTCCACAAGCCGAGCTCCCTTGACGCCTCGCCTCTTTCTCATTTTCCTCCTTACCCTCCTCACTTATCGGCTCAAGACGCAATCTACCGGACGGAGCTGCTTTCTTCACATCTAGCCTTCGATCTGATAAAACCTACCGGACGGAGCGCTCGCAAGCCATC